CTCCTAGCCATGGAAAAGGTATGTGTGGAGAGTGCAGAGATTACTGAGCAGATCAAGCAGCAGATCCAGTTAGAGCTGACGCGTAGATGGCGTTCGGTAAAAGCCCAATTGTATTTATACCAGCAAGCAAAGGATGTGAAGAAAGCAATCACAAATTTCTGCGAGGAATGGTTGGGGGGGGAACAAAGGGGGGTGGATAGCAGAAGTAGAATGGAACGGAGATAAGCCAGAGGGCGATCAGGATTTGGAACGCATAAGGGACTACCATCTAGTGTTCAAGGACTGGACCAACATTGAACCCTCCTTTCCACTTCGCCCTGCCACAGACTTTCCCGACCCTTTTCCTCCCCATGCCCTTTCGTTGGCAGAAATTCTGAGTTAAAAAATAATAAAACCCTGAATCCGAGCCCCCCGGGGTTGGGCCTGGTCAGAGCACAAGAGCACAGGGTCCTGGCTGAGATGGAACAATAGAAGGCTACAAAAGATCGCAGAAGGAGTTGACAACTTCAACTGCAAGCCGCAGTTGGCATCTGGTGCCTGGTGCAAGGTGATGAAGGTTTCCCCCCCTTTTCCCATTGTCCCGGGCTGCCGGAGTGCCCAGGGCAATTAATGCTGGCAGACAATAGCCCTCTTGCTTTTCTAGTAAGCCTGCTCAGTTAATCCCCTGGTTACTCAGGGCAATTAATGCTGGCAGACAATAGCCCTCTTGCTTTTCTAGTACGCCTGCTCAGTTAATCCCCTGGTTACTCAGGGCAAACAGTGCTGGCAGGCAGTAGTCCTCTCATACATTGCAGTCACAACCTCAAAAAACAGATCAGAAAAAAGGGGAGGGAGGAACTAGTTTCTCAGCAGTAGATATTTGGCGTCTAGTACAGGGCGAAGAGGTATTCTCCTTTCTTCTCAACAACCTGCACAGTTAATCCTCTGGAGGACAGAGTAATCAATGCTGGCAGGTTTTTTCTTAGTCTACTTCCCTGACATCTTCTTGATTCATTCTGTATTCACTCTGTATATGGGGCACTGGACCTGTTTTCCAGTGGGTGATGCTCCCCACAGATGGAGCCTCTCCCCGGGTGCTAGTGGTGTCTGCTCTCACCAGCGCCACTAGCACTGCAGGGGGTGTTAAAAAAAAAAAAAAAAAAAAAAAAAAAAACAACGCCTCCCTCCACTTACTCTAGACTGGAACTCATGACAACACCCTTCCAGAGCTGTCAGAAAGCCCTCTCGAAGGGCACGCTCCATTTGTATAGAGTTCACAGCCTGCAACACTCAGGTTTTCTAGCGTCCTCCCTCCTACCCCGCGCCCGCCTCTCTTTTTGCGAGTGTGCCTCCTACGCCGACCATCAGAACGAGCTTGGCGCTGTCATCTAGGACTGTAGAAGGGCTGTCATGTAGCACTTATAAATTCGTGAGTGCTTCTATAGTTCTTGAGTTCGCAGCCAGGAGGCTGCGCTATACCCGGTTGCATTTTTCGCAGAAGCGGATTTCCCGATCGGGAAATGTCGACGACCTGTCTAGGGGCTTAGAGCGGCGTAGAGGGGGCTGCAATCTGCAGCACAAGGGTGTGGTCGTTGTCATAAGACCGACCGGCCGCTGCGGCGGTCACCCTTGTGCTTGGAGTTGGGGCGACCGAGCCCTCTTTTTTTGTGGGTGGACGGCGCCAACTTTCTTTTTCGGGCTATTTGGCCATTTTTTCGTTTTTCTTTTTTCCTTGGGGTAACTTTTTTTTTTTTTTTTTTTCGCTCTACACTCTTCTCTCAACTTCTGTTTCTTTTACCTTCCATTACCTACTCCTAAGACTATCTAGAGGGGACCCCTGCAAGCATAGTTTTCCTCTCTCTGTGAAGGGGAGATTTCATGTTGCCCCTTGCCCCTAATGGTTAGGGTATAGGGTTGGGGCCACCAGTGGGGGTCTGGCTAACACAAAGACCGAGACCTGCCAATAGCTGTGCCTCCCTTTCTCATCGTCCCCCACCCTTCGGCGCACTCGTCTATCCACGAACGGCAGATAAACGAAAAAAGAAAAAAACAAGCATCCCCTATGCTGTGTGATTGCGGTCCAATACAGGATGCTACAGTACTTGTCTGGAACTCAGGGCCTCGCCACACCACTCTCGAAATGTGGAAAAGACAAAAGTGTGGCGGACGCATCTGGTCACGTTCTGGGAGGAGTTCATTCTCATTTTGCACATTTCGAGAGTGGTGTGGCGATGCCCTCAATGAAGCGTGGAATCCGCCCTGCCTGGCTGGCAGGGCGCTACAGGGACCTCACAACAAGAAACAAAACGAAGGAGAATCAAATATTTCAAGGAGTTTCTTTACTGACTGTTTTATCAGAAAAAGAAAAAAGATGGTTAACTTGTGCACAGAAATCTTTATATATTAGAGATCTACGAAAACAACAATTGAGAAAACAACGTAGCTTATAAAAAAAGTCCATTCAGATGGCTTGCAAATTTTGTATATACTTCATCGGAGTAGGCTACTCTTGAGACTTCGCGTTTGCCTGTGAAGGGTAGTGCCTGTGAATCTCGGCTGTGGCCGAGACATCTCGGTCGTGCCCAATCTGGGGTGTGGCCGAGACATCTCTGCCGTGGCCAGTCTGGGGTGTGGCCGAGACATCTCTGCCGTGGCCAGTCTGGGGTGTGGCCGAGACATCTCTGCCGTGCCCAGTCTGGGGTGTGGCCGAGACATCTCGGCCGTGGCCCAACCATGGGACTGTTTTTTTTTTTGAGAAAACTGCGGCGCAGTCAGGGTTTGAGTTTGTAATTGCACTTGAGGCAAAAGGGCCGGTAATGCTGAATGTATATGACCTACGTTTCCGGTCCGGTGGGGTCGTGTGGGGGTGTGTTGTATTCGCGGGATTGCCTGAAGTGCAATTACAAACTGTTTTCATGACTGTGCCGAAGTTACCCCTTTTTTTTTTTTTTTTTCTTCTTTTTTTTTCTTTTTTCCAGCCGCGGAGCGGCCCGGCGCGGCGCGGCAGGCGACCGAATAAAGAAAAAAGAAAAACGAAGAAAGAAAGAAACAGACCAACAGACCGCGACGCGGCGCGCGTGGCGCACTACCAAAAAAAAAAAACAGAAAAAAAAAGAAGAAAAAAAAAGAAAAAAAAAAATAGGGAAGAACGAAACGGCCATGTGCCTGACTGAACTGCTAGAAAAAGCCAGCCTGAGTTTCAAACTGCTAAAACGCAGTTTCAAATGCACTTGAAACTCGGGCCCTGTCTAAACTGCTAAAACGCAGTTTCAAATGCAATTACAAACTGTAACCCTGACTGCACTGTAGTTTTCTCTTTTTCTTTTTTTCCTCTTTTCTGCACCGCCGCCGTCGACGTTGATTGTGCACGCATGCGCGCGCCTGAGAGTTGGCATTCGGTTGTGCAGGGGTTGGTGGACTGTGTGGCGACGGTTTGGAGCAAGCGCAGAGGCAGCCACGTTGCATCCGTTCTGTGTGGGCATTCATTTGCTGAGCAGCAGAGCAACATCACAATCCTGCGGCAACAGATCCTTCTCCTTCCCCCGCCTCCCGCCACCTCAAGGTCGTGCCACCCCTCCCAAAGCCCTTCCAAGCGCACATGCGCGCGAGAAAACCCATCGCCGTGGCCCAGCCCGACCCAGCAGACAGCATACTGTGACCAGAACGCATCTGAGGCGGATTGGTTCCACTCCCTTGGTCTACTACGGATCTGACAGGTCATCACTGCGTGGAAGCATAGAGAGACCTGCAAACATGGCATGGCTGGTCCAACCAAGGTGGAGGAAGAGGAGGAAGAGGAGGAAGAGGAGGAAGAGGAGGAGGGAGGAGGAGGGAGAAGGATGAGTGGAGAGGGGAGGAGGAGGATAAGGAGGGAGGATAACTGCTCTCTGACTTCTCTCTAACTGCTCTCTAATGCTCTCTGACTGGTCTCTGACTTAAGATGGAAGTCCCTTTTTTTTTTTTGACCCCAGTTGAAGTCTGGATTGGCTGGATTCGTCTTTTTTGAAATTTTCCCCTCAAAATTCAATCGGTGCTCAAGGACTGAACTTTGAGAGGGGGATCAAAATTGGTTCTCTTACCACCACAGCACCGCAGGCTTCCACAGGATGTTTTGTTAAAATAATAATAATAATAATAATAATAATAATAATAATAATAATAAATCACAGCTGGCAAGAAAAAAAGAAAGAAAAAAAGAAAGAAAGGGACGTCAGTGGACTGCAGAGTCCTGCACTGGAGCCAGGCCCCAGTCGACTCGCTTCACCGTTGCTGGCCGTTGATCTTCGCGATCGAAAAGTTGGCAAGTACTGGGGCATTTTGCAAAGTTGGACGGTGCCCGGTACCTACCATTGCAAAGATGGGGGTCCAAGCGACGCTAGGGGTATTTCACAAATTTTGCTTTTTGTCAGAGGGGCATTCCGCTCTACCCACATCTTTTAGGGGAATTTTGGCATATATCTCAACTTACGGGGGTATTTCACAATTTATCGCTCTGAAAAAAATGCCCGAAACCCTTGGCACCAAAGCTGTCCTCCTCACGTCCGGCAGACCGCTGTAATGCGTTCTGACGCATGTCTAGGGCTCTCTGTTCCCCTCCCCCCTCCAGGCTGCGCCTCCGGGCTGTGTGCGGTACACAGTCTGGAGTAAGTGGAGCCATTCTTCTTTTTTCTAGACCTCTGACAGTTCTAGAAGCACTCACGAATTTTTTCGTGAGTCTAGTGTAGTGGAGCGAGACCCTATGGCGCTCACGAAATCCTGAGTTTCTTCTGAGGAAAAAAAAAAGAGAAAAAAGGCGAAATCGAGAGTGATGGAGAGAGGCCCCATTTTCGCGAAAGGAAGGCCCCACCTCATTTTCGCGAAACGGCACTACCGGGCCCCCGAACGTCCAAGTGGCCGGGGAAGTGAGTCCTACCGCTACCTGTAGCCCCTGTCCTCTGTTTTCCAGGGAAATTCAATTCAACAAGTACTTCGTCGTTTTCCGCAAGGGGACTGCGAATTGATTGACAGGTCGGGAAGGGGTTCTGCGAGCAGACCGCGCTCAGGTTGTTCCCCCTCCCATCGAGGACAACGACGAGGTAAGGGGTCCTCCTCCTCTCGCTCTCTTCCGTTCTCTACCTTTATCCCCCTGTCCCTGTCGCCTCCCACCCCTCCTCTGGCCCACCCCTCTTTTATTATCTTCTTCTTCTTCTTCTTTTTTTTTTTTTTTTTTTTTTTTTGATAATAATGAGGGCCCAGTGCCCAAGGCTCCAATTATGAATTTGATTGCAACATTTAAACACACGCCTCTTCCCATTAGGGCTGGAAGAGCCTCAGCCAATGCTCCCCTGGAGACAGCTTCCCTGCATAACACAAATATAGTCAAATCAGGGGGCATTGATTGCTTCCCCGGTGGGCAAGGATTAACCCCCGCTTTGTGCTAAATCAAACTCTACCCTACTCGCCTCCTCAATTATCCACTACAATCTTCTGAGATACAATTAAGGCAGAGAGATTAATAACAGGGCGAGCTAGTTCAGTAGTTTAGTAGTTTATCGATAGTTACGATGAGCTTCCCCCCAGGATCCTAATTAGCCACTAAACACACAAGTGGGGATTTCCTTTCCCGTTTTTGGGGCATCCTCACACCACTCTCGAAAGGTGCAAAATGAGAATGAACTTCTTGCTAGAACATGGCCAGATGCACCCGGCATATTTTTGTCTTTTTCACATGTCTAGACTAGAGTGGTGTGGCGGGGACCTGCACACGTCGTCCGCTTCTCTTGGGGCATTGCCACACCACTCTCGAACTCGAAATGTGCAAAATGAGAACGAACTTCCCGCTAGAACATGGCCAGATGCACCCGCCACATTTTTCTCTTTTTCACATTTCGAGAGTGGTGTGGCGACGTCCTTGTTCTAGCATGCGGGGCGTACTGCGCACTGATTCTTGGGCAGTCTTCTTGATTGCTCATGTAGGCCGAATAGCGGTCCGATACATTCACTCTCTCTAAAAACAATAATTCTAGTCCGCGGTCAGCTTGCTGTTATGCTGTTCTTACCTCTTTTTTTTTTTTTTTTTTTTTTTCTGTATTTTTATGAATCCCCCTTGGAGGGCGGAGGGCTGCGCCGTTCCCGGTAGCTGATTAGAACTTAGCCAAGCCCCTATGCCCACCAACTGATGCGCAGGTGCAGGACATGCACTTGGTCGTTTGCAGATCCAGGTGCATTCTGACCTGTGCAGTTTTTTTTTTCTGCATTTCCGAACTCTGAGCACGTTGTTAGTGTGCTTTTTCTTTTTTTTAGTCTTTTCTTCTTCTTCTTCTTCTTCTTCTTTTTTTTTTTTTTTTTCCTTCTTTTCTTCTCATGTTTTGGCCATGCTAAAGAAAACAAACCAAAAAAAAAAAACTCTCTCTTCTCTTTATCGCTCCAATTTTAACGGATGTCCCGAAGGACTGTATGCACCTTTTCCCTTATCTTCTTCCCCCGTTTTGGCGCGCCTTACCAACGCCCTCTCGTCCCTTTTTTTTTTTGGTTAATTTTTTTAATGCGCCTTCTGACGAAACCTCTCGTCCTTTCTTCCTTCTTTTCTTTCGATCTCCGCTCCCCCCCCTCCTGTCCTCGGCCATCTATCTATCTATCTTCTATGTATTTATCTATCTATCAGATTCTATCTATCTATATGCCGTTACCCCCCATCGGCCCCCGAGGATGAGCACATAATGAGTCCATCAATCAATCGATCGACCAATCAATAAGCCCGTAAGTCAATCAATTGATAGACCAATCAATCAATCAGTCAATCAATCGATCAATCGATCGATCAATCGATAGATCAATCAATCAATCAATCAATCAATCAATTGACCGATCAATCAATCAACCACCCAACTAAATCAATCAGTCAATCAATCAAAATCGACCAGTCAAATCGAAATCAATCAAATCAATCAATCAAATGAATGAATGAATGAATGAATGAATGAATGAATCAAGCAAGCAATCAAGCAATTAGTGAAGACACAGTTGAGTAGGAGAGGAGGAAGAAAAGGTGGAGGAGAACGAGAAAAGGAGAGAGAAAAGGAGGGAGGGGAGAAGAGAAAAGGAGGGAGGGGAGAAGAGAAAAGGAGGGAGAGGACGGAGAGGAAGGGGACGGGTGTATGTATGATAAGGACATGTAAATGCAGAAGAAGGAAGGACGGTGCGAAGAGCTAAGTAGGAGGAAAAAAGAACATCTGGTTGACGTCATCTTGCCCTCGTTCGGCTTATATTTTTCATGCGAGCCAACTCATATTTCTGAGCGTGATGACGTCAACCAAATCTTCTTTACGTAATATATATTGTCACATTGTGAATCAGAGCGCAAAAAAGGGGAAAGAAAAAAGGAAAAGGAAAAAAGGGGGAGGGGGAAGAGGTAAGGAAAGCT